TTTTTAGCTTTTGGAGAGCAAGCGAGGGAACCATCGACAACAAAGCTTCCTCACTCCAAGATGTTGATGTAGGATGGTATGAATGCTTCCCGAACTAATGCCTATAATCTTTTCGATGTCAGTATATTTGATTCGTGGGTCTTCTCGCACCAACATTTCAGTAGTCCATACATTTTCTGCCGTTACTGCTGTTTGCGGGACCCCGGTTCTTTGGTCATCTTTAAGATCAATTTTAACCATTCTGAATTCAGAAAACCACCTAAAAATTGTAGTGCGTGATGGAGCTGAGTCCCCTAGTGCTGATTGTAACCGTTGTAAACTTAATTGTTCGGTTAAACCAAATTTAAAATCATAATATATCATAATATAGCCCGCAAATGTTCACAGTTAGGATCCATTGTTTTAAATGAAAAGCGCAGGAAGCGTTGCAGGATTTTGTTTTTTTTTTAATATTGAGCAATGAGGGCGGACATCCACGACTTTTTCTGCCGCCAGGGCGGCGCCACTAGTAAGTGAGGTATAATATTTGACAGATTTCATAGTGGGGGAGTTAATTTGTTCGGGAAATGTAAAAGTTATTGTTTCTTTTTGTACTATTAGCTATATTTTATATTAATAAGATTAAAAATAAATGAACCAAACCACAGATATTCATAAAGGTAGATAAATTAAAAAAAGTTAAAAATGTGCAAAAATTATAGAGCAAACCACAGACGCATTGTTTTGTGTATTAATATAATACTCTAGAAACTGTTAAAAAACTTTTATTAAAAAACATATTCTCAATTAAATTACATTGCGTAACAAAAAGACTTTACCTCAGTGTCAACTAGCGACATCTGGTGAGCATAAAATGATTAACCCTCATTGGCTTATGGAGTTCTATTTTTAAATAAATTTGCTTTTTAAAAACATATAACACGGGTGCGTTCCATTTTTAAATTTCCAGCATCTCAAAACTTATTGAGTGACCTACGTAGTAGTTTATATAGTTTATGTATAGTTTTTACAGCCCTGAGTCTGATGAAGCTAGAGTTATTTGATGAAGATGAAGCAAGCGTTGCTTGGGCTACTGCCGCGCAGAGCCGCTAGAGTCGTATTATATTTATTTGATACTCGTAATAATGAGTAAAACAGTGTTTGAAATTTTTACCGTTAGATATTATTTAAAAAGTTAAAGTAGAGTATTAGCTTTTCTTTACCGAAATGCCGCCCCCTAAAACCTGCCGCCCGGAGCCATGACCCCTCCCCCTGCTCAATGAACATATGAATATACATTTATTAAATTTGTGTAGGACGTACGTCCGCATGTGTACATGATGTTATTAAAATGATTCACGTTCGCGACGTGGTCAGCATTTGTAAATCGATCATGTTCAAAGAATAACACACAAAAAGGATTTAGTTTCCATCACAGCGTTATCTATAAATGTGAGTTCACCGGACGTAAATAAATAATGCTTGTTTTATTCGTAGTGACTAACACTGTGCAACATGTCATACGCACAGAAATATTGACGTTTATTAAGAATGAAAACTGCAAACGGTTTGTTCGAATTTTAAATGTTGTAAATATTATTGTATTTTGTACTATAGTATTATTATTCTTCATCAACATCATAATTTCTACGTAGTTGAGTCATGTTGTAGCTAAATTATAGTTGTAGCACGAATGGGGAAGTACCACGCTCTCACGAAATACCAGCGTAAAATAGCAGCTTAATGCTGCTGTGTTTCGTACGGTGAGTGTAGGGAAACAGAGACCTATTTTACTAGATACGAGATATTCCATCTTAGTCCTCAGATCCTTATTCGAGGAGAGATGTAGATGTTTATGGACAACAGCATCCATTTACCCTCAGGTAGACTGTGCGCTCACTTTTCACCCTTATTCTAGAAGAAGAAAAAAAAACATCAGCTCGTAAAAGCCTGCAAGATTTTCCACAAGAATCGCCACACTTAGCGGGAGCATTTACCTAGTCAGGTCATAAGTATTGTCACACAGTAAAAACTTTTCTTTTAGAATGCTGGCCACAAAAAAGTTTATTGAATTCGAATTTCGAATTGTTCATGAAAATAAAACTGTATACTTTTTAGAATTTTACTCATTTTTAAATATGGAGTGGACGCTTAAAAAAGACCGTGTTGCAGTTATTGCGTTGCATCGTTGCGGTTACACGCCAATTCAAATTTTTGACATACTGAAAAATTTGAATATAACCAAAAGATTCGTTTATCGTACCATCAAACGATATAATGAAGACTCTAGTGTAGATGACAGGTCAAGAAGTGGTCGCCCTCGGTCTGTTAGAACTCCAGCAGTAATAAAAGCTGTGAAGGCGCGAATTCAAAGAAATCCCAAATGTAAGCAGAAACTGTTGGCCCTTCAGATGGGGTTAAGCAGAACCACGGTGAAAAGGGAGTTAAATGAAGACTTAGGGCTTCGGGCATATCGAAAATAACAGGACATCGTTTTAAATGCTCGTCTAATGGACCTTAGACTGAAGAGATGCCGCGCTTTGTTGAAGCGGTACGCGGGAAAAAATATCGGGAAATTCTTTTTTCGGATGAAAAAATTTTTACCGTAGAAGAGAGCTACAACAAACAAAATGACAAGGTATACGCACACAGTAGTGAAGAAGCGAGCAACCGTATTCCGCGTGTCCAACGAGGTCATTTTCCATCCTCGCTCATGGTATGGTTGAGAGTTTCTTATTGGGGCTTAACAGAGGTACATTTTTGTGAGAAAGGTGTAAAAACGAATGAAGTTGTGTATCAAAATACAGTCCTGACGAACCTTGTGGAACCTGATTCTCATACCATGTTCAATAACAAGCACTGGGTATTCCAACAAGATTCGGCGCCAGCTCATAGAGCGAATAGCACACAAGACTGGCTGGCGGCGCGTGAAATCGACTTCATCCGGCACGAAGACTGGCCCTCCTCCAGTCCAGATTTGAATCCGTTAGATTACAAGATATGGCAACACTTGGAGGAAAAGGCGTGCTCAAGGCCTCATCCCAATTTGAAGTCACTCAAGACATCCTTGATTAAGACAGCCGCCGATATTGACATGGACCTCGTTCGTGCTGCGATAGACGACTGGCCGCGCAGATTGAAGGCCTGTATTCAAAATCACGGAGGTCATTTTGAATAAACTTTAGTGTCATAAGAATCTATGTTTTGTTAAGTTTTAGGTAGTTAGTAAGTTAAGATTATACGGCCATCATCGGAAGCCATTGGATTATTCTGATATTTTCTATGATAGCCTCTTTCGACACCCACGGAATCAAATGGAGTGATGGATACGCTTACGCCGCCGTCATGCCACAAGTATAATAATAATTATGATTTATTACTACTATCATAAATTATTATAGGTACTTATCAAATTAATGTTCTGCTAACGTTCTAATGTTCTAATGTTCTGTAATGTTCGTGCTAATGTTCTGTAATCTTCAGATATATCATTTTTTTTTACCTATACGCGTGTTTGTCACTGAACTCCTCCTAAGCGGCTGGAACGATTTTAATGATTTTTTTAATGGTTAAGTGGGTGTTTATGTAATGTTTTCTTTTTCGGACCCAGTAGTTGGTGCTATACATATATATATATATTAGAATTCCTAATGGAACAAGCAAATTCGCCAGCTGAGATTACGCATAAAGTATATATTACATAGGTACCACCCCGTACTATACTTATCTTGTTAGTTTTAATAAAATTTCTAGGAACTAATATTGTTTTATCAACTTCGGTGTAATCTTCCATTGCTGTAACATACAAATAGCAATCTCTTACGGAAATTAATACTGGCTAGTAATATCAGTAGCGATACGGGGTCAGTGTAATTTTTGACAAGGTCAAACTAATTTTAAACCTTGCAATAGAATATTTTCCGTGATATATATATATATATATATATATATATATATATATATATATATATATATATATATATATATATATATATAATGATGATGTTGTTGCAGTTTTGGAAAATACGAATAAATAAGGCTTCTACTTTTATTTGAAGTTATTCCAGTTTGAATGTGATTTATGGGCAACAAAGTTTTTGCTTACCGATCGACCCTTAAGAATGTGTGCGTTGAAGTGAAACTTCTTTATCGACGTAGTAGAGAAATTTAGTATGTATTAAAAAAGTCACATTTTTCTTGTAACGTTTCACCACCGGTGCAGCACCGGTGGTGAAACGTCTACGCATGAGTGTACTAGATATGATTTAAAATACTTATGTAAAAAATAAAATAAAAGAAGAATGACATGTCGTAAAAAGTATCACTCGGTGCATGCGTGTGTGCACACTTACATGCACAATTTATTTTTTAATGAACTAGCAATTTTGTTGAAATTCCATTTAGGGTGATGTTGAACTCTTATGTTAATAAATTCAATATTCTTAAAGTGATTGCTTAGCGGATTAGTTTTTATTACATTATTTTTACTTGATTATGCTACATAGCTCAAAGAGCCGGCAATCGAAGGGCAACAAAGTTTTTCGAGTGATAGCCCTATTAAATGGAGTAACAAACCTGGTAAGAAATGCAGAAATTCGATGGATGCAGATGGTTTCAACCGTATTTTTTGACTATCCTTAATGAAGCCTTTTGTTCAACAGTGAACTTACGAATGACTGTAACGTTAATAAAAATAATAAAGTAGTTAACAAATTAGTTCAGTTTTAATACAGATTGCTGATAACCGAGTACGTTTTGCTTCCATCAGTTCAACTTCCTAACATTTATCAGGCATAACAAACATTGACCTATTTAACATTTTAAATGTTCTTTTTTTTTTTGTTTACAGAGAACCTGGAAACATTTGAACTACAGTTATTGTGTGAACGTGCGGTCTATGTATCTATTAGAATAAAGAGCGAACGTAGAGCAGTGCGAGTGAAAGCAATATATACGTAATATACGTAATAGAAAGTGAGAGCAAAACGTTATTCGGTGAAAGTGACAGTTCAGTGTTCAAAATGACACCGGGTGTTGCAGAAGATCACGCCATGGTAGGCATAGGTAACAACAATGTAGAGCCTTTAATGCCAAGGAGCACTGTGCATTTAGAGTTCAACGACATAAACTGCTGCATAAACACATTTGCCATTCATAAATTAAGATTCGGTAAGTATTACAACTTGTTATTTTTGTATAAATTATTATATTATTTACGCTAACTTAATTTATGTAAATTTCATAAATTACATAATATACAACACACATTATATTATATGAATAGTCTTAATGTTATAGTGACATTGTATCTAGTTATCTTGGTCGTAAAATATAGATGACGTTGAAAGTATAATAAAAACAGTCGCCTTATAACCAATTTATTCTTAACCATCAAGCAGAGTTCGTTAACACCGCTGGCGTTGTTCAATACATCCTAATGTCGGTCACATATGTACATAGGGAATTCCGTTTCGGGATTCCATATTTTTTAAATATGAATGTCTGTAAACTCTTTGAATGTATTATTTAATGAAATAAGTTGAAAGGTTATGAAAAACTATACACATATAAGATTAAATGTAAAAATATACATAAACACACCTACTCGCTTCGATCGTGCGAGGAACACTGAGTGCGTACGGAATTTACGAATGTGTGTTGCAAGTCATACAAAATCTATGGAAGACTTGCGTTCGCAGTGGTTTTTTTCCGTTCGGGATTCCAAACGCATAGGCGGTCATACGGAATCTCGAATCAAAGAAAGTTCCGTACGCAAAATTACCGTACGTGAGTGGTGGATCATAGATTATATATGGACTTGCTGCGTTCGGAATTCCGAATCGGGATATGGAAACGGATTCCCGAAACGGATTTCCTTATGTATGTGACCGGCATAAAAGGGCTTTAAATTTTCGGGATCTTACTTGCTCAACACTCTTTAAAATTAACATAAATTACCTACTACTAGCAGTAAAAAAATTAGTCCGTGTAACTCGCAGTTAAATTAAAATTTATTAATATTCTTATCATTCTGGTAGAATCATTTACACCTCTCGATATATCACTGAATCCGCTTCTCTCTCATTACAGCTATTGACGCTTCATTCGATAGGGGAATAGCCTCGTACTCGATCGAGTCAACATCATCAAATATTTTTGAGCACACGATATACTTTTTTTATATTATTAAATATTAGAAAGAAGGGATATGACCCTTCAGTAAAGCTTTTGACTTTAAAATTGATTTAATTGATCTAATAAATAAATGTACAATATGTATATATATTTTCGGCTTGACTGGGAAATCAGCACGCTCGCGGTTAAGAAATAAAATAAACCTAATTATTATAATTCTTTAAATAATACATAGGCCCGCATAAACTTTTCGGGAGCATCTCGCATTCTTCCCATAACCGGATTGCTGACAACCTGTGATTTATTAGCTTGCACGTTAAACGATATAATGAGTGAGCGCATTATGTGTGGAGAGTTCATGAAAATAATTACAAACAACCAAGACAATGCGGTGCAGGTCGGGTGCTGAGTTGATAGTGAGTAACAACAATTAAATGATATACTTAGCTATATTGCAGCTGTCGGTACAATACCTATATTAATGCTTAATAACGTAATAATCATAATTATGCGTTGACGACATCCAACTGATAAATTATTACATTAAAGCGATATTATAGAAATCTAATCTTATCCGTATACTAGGGAACATGTCATTTACTTATTTTATATGAATTATTTATATATTTTATTATTTTTCATTTTATCAACTTATTTGCATGTTATGTGTAGGAGCGTACTAATTAGTTACATCTTAAATTAAAATATTTTCTAGTTCTATATATATTATAGACTACACAAATTTTCCAACTCTAGGTGTGTGAGTGTATGTTTGCGAAATTTTGATTAAATGTTTATTAAGTTACTACTCTGTGAGTGAGCTCTAGATAACAAATATTATACTCTCCCCTAAACTCCCAAGGATAATCTTAGTGGTAGAAAAGGCACAATTATCCGTAATTCATTTTTATCATTTTTTAATTCATCTTTACAAAACTAGACACATACCTGGATCCGACAAGAATTAACTTATCTACAGGAAGAAGCAAAAATTTAAGCTTCCATATCGATATTGAGCCGACTGACAAATGAAAATTATAGTAGCGTATGAATCGATTACTGGTGACGATGTAAATAAGCATAACATTAAAAATATTTTAATTAAAGTTTTCACATGACAGGGATACAGTATAGTCCCACTTAATCTAAACAAAAAGAAAAGAAATGAAATGAAGAAAAAAGAATAATAATGTCTAAAATTACTTTTGTGGAATATGCACGAAGATACTTAAATAAACCTGCTGTAAGTAAAAATGTTACTATTGTTCAAGTGCAAATGAAACTGCCTTAAAAAATATGAGGACGCGGTAATTTACAAGTTTCTATTAGTGTAAAGTAGGTAAGTTGGCCAACTGTTGTACTGTTATCATGGACTATTCATTGTCTATGTCGTGTCGTCACTTATTGTGTTTTATATTTATTATTGGCCATTGCTGTTTTAATACTGCATTTTTATTTAATTATCCTTGTAAATAGATGGAAATTATCTTCATCATCATCATTACAGCTCTTCACAAGTCCACTACTGAACATAGGCCTCCCCCAAGGAATACCACAAAGCACGGTCCTGAACCACCTGCATCCATCGAATTCCTCCATGTCTTACCAGGTTATCACTCCATCTAATGGGGTCATCCTACACTTCGCTACGAGGCTTAAGAACTTTTATTCCCCATCGGTTGTCAGTTCTTCGAACTATCCAGCCAGCCCAGTGCCACTTCAGCTGACTAATCCGTTAGGCTATGTCGGTCACTCTAGATCTACTATGGATATACTCATTTCTAAGTTTATCACGCAGAGAAACTCCGAGCATAGCCCTCTCCATAGTTCGCTGAGCGATCTTGAGCTTCCTCACACGGCCAACAGTGAAGGACCACCTCTCAAATCCATAAGTCATCACTGGCAACACGCATTGTTTGTACAATCTCGTTTTCAAATTTTGAGGTATACCCGACGAGAACATGGGTAGTAATTTCCCGAACGCTGCCCAACCAAATTGAATCCGTCGATTGACCTCTCGGTCGAAGTTGGATTTACCTAGTCGGACTATTTCCCAGTTAAACGTACTCGTCATCAACTTCAAGCTTAGTGATCCCAACATCTACCGGCGTAGGTGTGACATGGACGTTATATATGATCTTTGTTTTGTCCATGTTCATCTCAAGACCTATCCGTTGGGAGGCACTATTGAGGTCATAAAGCATAGTGCTTAGGTCGTTTCCAACGATTCTGCCATTAGAACTATATCGTCTATAAATCGAAGGTGACTGATATACTTGCCATTAATGTTAATACAGTATCCTTACATAATATACACCCTACAGTCCAGTAGCTTGAAAATGCCCCGGGGACATGGTGTGTTTGAGGTGCTGGAGAGCCATTCTAAGCTCGCTCAGATTAACGTCCTGGATGTCATCGGAATAGTGTCGGATAAGAATTGTTCTTGGATTGTTACTCACACTTGCATGTGGCTCCAACGATGATGTGTGCTGCTGGGTAATAGTACACATCATCGTACGGGCATAAAACATTTCAATATCACTCAAAATTTCAGGTGTCCTGGAAACGATGCTGCTACACTCGGTCTTCAGCTTTAACAGTTGGCTGTTTCTGGCAGACAAATCTCAATGAAAGACTTTAGAACCATGGTTCCGCTCGATTATTCTTCAATAGGAGCTGAGTTGAAGTTGCGTAAGTCCCGCCGCATGTATTTGGAGATTTGTCTGTTCAGTTGCCTGTATGCTGTCAAGCTGAAAACTGCAGGTTCATCAGAGACATCACTGAGCAATTGCGAGTTGCCAGCTTGACAGTTAAGATAAAATAATATTTCTTTTATGGCAATATAAGAAAAAGTGCGAGGGAAATGGATATTATTCCTTGTAGCCGGCAAAGGCGGCTACGCTACGTCAGAAGGGGTCGTGACGGAAAAATCTTACACATTTACTCGCCTAGCCCCCATCCGCAAATTCGTACCGTTCGATAAGGAAATTCGTTCCAAAAAGATCATATATTTCAATAGAACATTCCGAATAATAATGACAAGTACACTGCTAGATTATGCCTACCATTACATTACAATTATCTATATATAAAAATCAACTGCTGTCCGTTAGTCTCCCTAAAATTCGAAAATGGCTCTGAGAAATTTTGTGTGAGTTGGTCCTTGGATGGATTAGATTCACAATTAGATTCACAAAACAAAAAAAAACGGCAGTGACAGCCTATCACGCCTACGCTCAAGCGTGGCTAAACTGCAGCGTCATACTGTGGGGCAACAGTGTAGGATCACACGAACTTTTTATTTTACAAAATATATATATATATATGCGTACTTGGAAATATCAAACAAAGAGAAAGCTGCAAACCTCACTTCCAAAGTCTCAACATTCTAACATTACCGTGGCTATATACATTAGAAATATGTAAGTTTGTAAAATGACACCCAAGTTTTTACTCCAAAATAATAAATGCGCCCCGACACAACATACCTCGCTATAAGAATAACCTTTACAAAATCTAAATTAAAATTATACACATATTACCCGATGTTAATAAAAATTTAAAATAAATTGCCGGAATACATAAAAGCCGAAACAAATATTAATAAATTCATAAGATCTTTAAAAGATATACTTATTTAAAAAAGTTATTATTCAATTAATGAATACATTGAGGAAAATAATTTTTAAGTTTCTGCCCCTCTCCTGTTCATTGCTATGCCTTTCGAGGTATTTTCGAGATTGTTAGAACTTGCATGTTTTGTTTAGTCACTAAGTTACATGTAACGCAATTTTTGAATAAATAAATAAATAAATTGTTGCCGGTACAATGTGCGAAATGTTACTGGTAGACGGTAAAGTTTTTTTTTATATGATAGGGTGACTAACGAGCACCTGGTCCACCTGATGGTAAGTGGTTGCTGTGGCCCATAGACATCTACATCTATCCTCGTTTGCGAATCAAAATGCAGATGCGTTGTGATTCGTGAGGACTAAGATGGGATGCTTCTTTTCCAGTAAAAAGGGTCTCCGGTT